AAAAAAACAGACAAGAAAAGTAGAATAGACATGACCTCCATTTGATCAATTTTCAAATGATTAATGGAACTAAATTATAAAATTGAAAACCAGCGGCTACAACATGATTGCCCGATTAGAAATCTACTTGTGCGGATCCCTGCGTAAGATGATCAACAGGGCGACCCTCCTCATATCGTCGCCACATCAGATGCAACAGTGACTCCATGTCTGTGCAGTACTGCTTTACATTAAACAGCGTTGACGTGGTACGAGCTTTCCAAACTTTTGCACGGATAGCTGACAGACTGAAACGCAAAAATAATGATTTTTGCAACTAATCAAAGAAGCAAATTTCACCATAGTACAAGTAAAACTGCAGTTGTAGTTGCATTTATTTCATTTTACAACTGGTCTTACTTAGTAAGCACCTTTCCAAATAGATCTCGATAAGAAAAACAAAATACATAGAAGAGACTAGGAAAAGAAAATACCTTGCAAACATTATCCGAAATACTTTGAAGTCTATGATAATTAGCATCACAAAAACTCACTAATTCTTATCTGTGCCAAGCTTAACTGCTATGTTGATATAGTCTTCTCTGCTTTTAGCCACGAGCTCAGGCACGCCAAGAGCGTATAACTGAGATGAAGCAACACGAGATGCAAGAGTTTCCACTGTAAATGAAATATATATTACTGAAAGAAACTTTCAAAATCTGTATGATAAAATGAGATAAAAAGTTTACAAAAATAAACAGCTAAAGGATAGAAAGAAATTGAACATACATGGCATCGTAACCATAGGAGTTCCCGTCCATAGAATATCCATTCCCGTAGTATGACCATTGCACAAAGGTGTATCCAAGCATACATCAGCCAATTGTCCTCGCCTAACATGCTCTTCCTGGAAGTTCAATCTAAGAATTTATGAGCTAGAAAAGCAGGTGATCTGTAAAATATTAGAAGAAACACTGTCCCAACAAGACGTTCACTATACACCCGCTGAAAATTAAAGATATATGCCAACGAAATGAACCTTAGCCGCAACGTGGCTGAACACAACCCGTTTTGGATCAATGTCCCTTTCGGAGCAATACTTCTGCACATTTGGTTCGCCATGAAATGGAAAGCGAAGCAACCATAAAACACTTCTAGGAACCTAAAAAAGTCATTTCTCCTCCAGTGAAAAACAAAGTTTGACAAAAAGACGATGCGTACGCGTTTCAAGATTTCAATCCACATGTCCAGCGTAGGGGGATCAATCTTATACAACTGGTTGAAATTGCAGAAAACAATTGCATCGTCTGGGAGGTTGTACTGCTGACGGCTGGTAAGAAGTAATGATTGTGGTACCTCCTCGCCAGTAGCTGCTTTGTGATGCATCTGGATCTGGATTTACGCAAATTAGGCGTTGCTTCTCCATTGCAGGAGTGAGTCAGAGCTACAAACCTGAGTTAGGCCATTATGAACATGAACTCCATCCACGACACTGCTGGCGATTAGACCTCCCCCGATCATTTGTTTGAGGGGCTC